TCTTTTATTTTAATAGGGCCTCACTAAAAGTCACTAAGAAAGTATGCATGCCTTTAATCCCAGCACCCGGGAAGTAGAGGCAGGTGGATTTCTGTGAGTTCAAGGCCAGCCTGGTCTATATAAAGAGTTCCATGCCAGATGGGGCTACAGTGAGACCCTGTCTCAAAAGGACCAAAAAAGGGAGATATGAATAAAAATTGGGTTAGTTTAAGGGAGGGAGGAGGGAAGGGTATACAAAGAACCTAGGGGATAAAGGGAAAGAAGGAGGTCAAGAGGTAGGACCATAGGAGAAGGGTATTATTAAGGGAGAAAGGGGGGAAATGGGGGCACCTTAAGTGTGATAACCATGATGGAGGGGTTGGACAATGTGAGAGATAAACAATGACTAGGTAGTTTTGAAAACCAGAGAGAACCAAAATACTCCTACAACCTAATGAAAAATTATACATAGTGGATCAAGAAATATATGTCTAGGTAAGGTTTATCTGAGAACAATTGGTCTTTGCCCAAGATTTATCTACATTACACACAGTAATTAAAAGTACCAGCATGGTGGAACTAACCGTTTTGGATGTTTAACAGACATACTTTGAGGCCTATACTAATTTGGTCAGAGGAACATAAAGGACAGTTTTTCTCCTTGCCCGCCTAGGTCGACTAATTCTAGAGGACTATGAGCATCTCTCAAAATGTCCTGTAATTGTGGTAGGTCACCTGTCCTCTTGATCAAGGAAGTTAAGGAGACCCCACCAGACAGACTGGAACCAGTGTCCAGTGTACAAAGAGGGTCAACACAGAGGAAACATTTCCTCCATTCTTCCAAGCAAAACCAACCATGGTCGAGCAGGACCTTTGACTTATCTTCACATAGGCAGAACTGGTAAAAGAAAGGAGCCAGTGGCTCCTCCCAAGCCCATGTGACCCCTGAGGAACAGATCCTCAAACGACCTTAACAGTAAACATAAATTGGTTTATCTGGGACAACTGTATGGCCTTAAACACCCAAAAGGAAAGTATAACCAAAGATTAAAGGGGCCAATATAATTT